GCCCTGCCCGCCGCCCCCGGCCGGCCGCTTGTGCCGCCGGTGCGGTCTGTGCTCTGAACAGTGAGCCAAGAAGACGTTTACGACTAGGAAGATGGAGGGAAATACTTGTGAAGTCTGTTGTTTCACCAGTGGGCTGTGGCCTGTCTCTGTATGGTCGATGCAGGCATGTCTGGATTAGCTTTAGCCTCAGGGAGGACGTGCTCTCCCTTCTTCAGCGTCTGGCATTTTCTCGTCACCGCCTCCGGCAGATTCTCACGCGTGTCTCACAGACGATGAAGTAAATACGGCCTTTACAGCCACTACAGCTTCATCATCCTCATCTGGAGGATCAGGATTTTGTCCATGTTCCAGAAGGGAAAAATAACTAAACTGGGGGGATTGATGGTATGTTCAGTCAGCTCTAGGTTTTCCTAAGTGTAACTTCAGTGGCCTGGGTTCTGTGATAGACCTTGGCTAACAGAGTTAGGACGAAAACACTCGGAGGGCCTTAGTTTACAAATCTGGGAATTTTCTCTTTCAAGAAATACCCAAGTCAAATCCATGATTAAAAAAAGCAAATCCTCCATTCCTGCATCTGCCTACAAGGCAATTATTTTTTCTAACCAAGAACTATATGCCAGACCCCTCATTTTCAGTAAAAATGTCTCTCTTTCTAATCCCCATAGTTCTCTTTTGAATCAAAGAACTATTTTGTTAACAGTGATAAGGGCACCTACTTTATTCACTGTGTTTCATCTTTATCAAGCGCTTAGTCCTGTCACCTCCTCAAGCCGTACCGACTGCTCCAAACACTTGTTATATCTCGTGTTTCTTTCTCTTGAACGCAGTAGCTTGCTCTTGGCGTTTTCAGCCACGTTTCAGCTCTAGCACTGACCAAGCAAAAGAGACTGTTTGGAAAGCCAGAACCACCCCAAAGAGCAACGGTAAAAGCAGGCACCCTTCAGTTTTCTACTAAATTCTAACAGTTTAAATAGCAGAGGAAATTAATTGGAGAGGTTTTGCCGGGGTTTGGGGGCTAGTTGCTAGGGGGATGTAAATGCTAACTTCAGGACGTTGTTTTAGTGTTTCATTGCCATACCCATCGCTGAGGAAAAAAACTGCCAGTATGTCATTATATTGGAAATGAAATTTCAAAATGTTTATCTTGGGAATAAAAGACATCTTTTAGGCGCGCAGTCAGCTCCCAGGCTCGTGGGGCTAATCTTAAAATCCAAGCCTCTGTTGCCCCTGGAGGCATGGCTCTGGCACGGACTCCGACATCTGTGAATGCAGAGGGCAGGCCTGCTGCTGCTGTCTGGCAGCAGATGCTCCTGTCTTAGGATGGGGGATGCAATTAAACTCTTTCTTTTCTCTCCCTGAGCGCAAATTAGCAGCTTGATAGAGGAGTTTCATATTTTTATTGCAAAAAAATCAAGCCTACTGCTGAGTTGCATTGCACACAATTTCCTTGAGCTACTCAGCGAGTGGTGGAGAGGGGAATTCAAGGAGGAAGCACTGGGAAAGCCCCGTTCTCACTGTAGAATGGTTCATTACGTTTGCCTGACGTGTTTATGGCTGTCCAGCCTGCGTGAGGCTGATGATGAGCTCGGTTAGTTGTCTCCTTACTTTCAGGCGTTTGATTCTGTAAATGATGTGCGATACGAGGGCAGGTATCACCCCTGCGGATGGGGCGAGTGGGGCTGTGGAGCCGCATGCCCAAGGCTGTATTGCAGGTGGCAGAAGCCGGTGTTTCCATGGCCAGTGCTAAAGGGTGGGGGGGTAATGCCTCAGCTCTCCCAGGATAAGTGTACCTGTTATAGGTAAGTGTGCTGCTGTCTCAGGTATCTCACAGGTGGAAAAATATACTTTTATTTCAGAAATAAACTGGAAAACTCCCTTAGCACAAACCAGTGCATGAAAAGATCTTAGCCAACGCGTTACTGTGCCTCCATTTGCATTCAGCTGCACGTGTCCTGCTTCTGTTTTGAGCTGGAAATAAGGCTGTCCAGTTGAAACTCCAGGGTGGACTAACAATGTGGTTTTAACGCTCTAACTCAGCTCTACGTAAAGCAGTGAGTAGAGTACTCTGGGAGTTCATTCAGGATGGTGCTTTCTCTTTTGCTCAAACACCTTAAACTTTTCACAGGGAACATCCTGTACTTCAGAAAACTTCCACCCAATTCCCAAACTCACCCTGTCTTTTCCGTAGCTTACAAGAGAGGCCAGGAGCACAATGTGGGGTGTAGAATCCACAGGCCAAAAGCTGCCTTTGGGAATCCACAGGGAACCGAAACCTCATGCGAACTGGAATGAAAAAAAAACCCCAAACCAAAACCAAAACAGTATTTGAAAACAGAATAGTCTTTCCTCTCTACACAGTGCATTTACTTTGCAATTTACTTTCCTCTCTAAAGCAGCCCCTCCCACTGCACTAATATTAAGTACTGCATGGAGTATAAGTAACTTGTTTTTCCAGACTTTTCAAAGAAGGAAGGGTGGGCATTGTCAGAATTTCAGTGTTTGTTTGCGGTGACACAAGATTTCCCCATTAATGGATATAACTACCTGTGGTTAAAGATAACCAGTCTCAATTTCAAGCGTGTCACAAACACGCCTACCTCCCCAAAATGCAGGTTCTAAAGCAGATGTGTGTGCAGGTGCTGGCAAGCCACCTCATGACCGCACTGGGCTGAATGAATCTCAGAAGTTAAGCTGTCCTGGGCTTTGGTACGAAGACGCAGCTCCAAACCTAACCTAGGTTTTAGCATAGGTCAGGTTCTAAATCAGAATATCTCTGTTTTCTCCACTCAGTAGAGGTCAGCCAAGCTTGCCATTCTTTTTTTTCTGTTATCACAGTGACTATGATGAAAGGAACGTGCATGCTGATGTCTAGAGCTAATACTAGCTCCACCTCTGTCTTGAACCTGAAGTTCAGCCCAGCTCTGAAAATTATGGTGTGAATGCAATTATCAAGTACTTGATGCTCTTCCTGTAATTTCAAAATTTTTAGTTGTGGAAAAACATGTCTAATGGCTACCAATTTGAATTTGCCTATGGGAACTTACCAGGATCAAGCTGTATATACTGGCTCTTCTCTTTCTGATTAACTTTTATCCCTTCTTCCTCTTCTATGCCCATATCTGTAAAACTGGATGGAAGTAAAAAATTTATTTCTATAATGTATACCTGTACCTGTCTGAAAAGATGTCTAAGCCAATACAAATCAGTCAGGAGAAACTGTCTTCAGGAATTTGTGTAAAAATTTCCTCTTCTTTTTATCTTCACGCTTTCCTTAGGGATTTCATGGGTGGGAAGAAAATGAATAAAGTGGATAAAAAGCAGCTAGTGAGATTAAAAGGCAGCAACTGAAAGAAGGGTACAGAGTCTGGAGTGGTAGAGGGTGCTATCATCAGTGGAAAAAGGGGCATTTTTAAAAGGATCTTTCTGCTCCATTTTCCCTTCAGGAGAGAAGGTTGAGGTCAGAAAGCTTGGTGAAAAAAATAGCGTGCTATGGTTCTGTCTAGTGCTGGCTGTAGTCTTAGCTTAAAGGGGAGAACGGCTCACGTTAGGTGAGGTTAGGGAGGTGTACAGTTCACATGTCACAGCACATACTAAACAGAATAAAATCAGTTTCGTGTTCTAGAGCATGGAGGAGCATTTAGCTTGGGGCCAGGGAGTCCTACCTTTGAAACACCACAGTCTTGTCATGTTCAGTGCAGTGAGCAACGCACAGAAGATTCTCGGCAGCGTCAAAACAGGCTGCGGGTTCAGTGCTAGGCTACCTGCAGTAGCATTTCAGGCTACCTAGAATTGCTTCCAAATTGAGCTTATTCTGTGACCGACTCCTTTCATCTCCACTGTAGCAGGGGTTGCGCTTTAGAAATTGAGCAAATGGGAGAACAAACACAAGAAGCAAACTACCTTGCTGTTAAAAATGGCAATAATTTATCACACGGTGATACAGCACAGCTGCAGTAGCCTGAACCCTTTGAAGTCATGCTGGGTTTATGACTGCTGTTAGTCCGTACCCCCACAGTGCAGGTCTGATTGGTGCAAATGCTTATTACTGAGATCGTTCATTTGTTCAGTGCAGATGAAAAAAAAAAACCCACCATAATGCAGTTTTAAAAGGTTTGTACTACTTAGGTTATGTGGCAACAAGAGTAGCCAAGGTAGCAGCAGGTTTTTGAGAGGTTAGCGTGAGACAGCTGGGTTGGTGACTTCTGGGATTAGTGAAATTCCACTCGTCAGAAGGATTTAGGCTTCTGCGTCTCTATTTATTGCACTTGCAGCAATCTGTCACGGGGAGGAAGACTTGAGATGGATCCTAAGTGCCTACACGAGCGCGTACTGTGTATCTGTCAGGGAGAACAAGTTTGGTGATGGTCACAGGAACAGACAAGACTCAAAAAGCTGTGCAGCACTTTGGGTTTTTTAAGCGCTCTGCGGTGTAACCCAATGAATAATATAGTCGCTAACTGGTTGGTCTGTTTTGGCAAACACCCTGAGAGATTAACAGGCATGACAAAGGAATTAAAAACGAAAGCGACTCAGAACAAAAATCTGCTAACTCAGGAGCACTGCTCCTGAGAGCAAATATTGCTGGGGTGCATACAAAGTGACCATTTAAGCCAAACAGTCTTAGGAAACCGGTGCTGGGGCTAGATTTTTGACGCACTGAGCTGAAGCAGACCATTTCCAGAATAAACCGCAAACGGCATTTCCAAACTTTCTGAAATGTCAGAGGAAGAAAAGAGAGGAAAAACCTTTTGAAAAACATAACTGTTATTCAATAAATACGAAAAATTCTACAAGCCGAAATAAGTTCTCTCACAAAATACATTTCTCATAAATGCATTCATCTCTCTTCCTATTTTCAGAACTTCAGATATCAGTGATGACTACACCATATTTATCTTTCTCCACCTAAGCGCTCTGAAGACTAGATAGGGCAAAAGAACATTTATTGCGACTCTACCTTTATAAACTCAAGTCACTGTATCTATAAAGCTAATACACTTGTAAGTAATTTTAAGGAGTTTGATAACCTGCCAGAAAATAGGGGTGTTTGGAATTGGTGGTGTTACGCCTGATCGCCTGCAGGAATCAGTCAGTCACTCGTTCCATCACAGGACATGACATTTGCACTCTATTCAGGGAAGTAAATAGGAAAAGCAATTTGCATTTCGCATTGAAGTGATGCGCAGCAAGCGGCTGTCAGGTGAGCTAGGTGAGAATGAAACGAGAGATTGCCAAAAGCGCGGATCTCCCACAGGTTTGTATGGACGTGCGACTGCCCGTGCCAGGGGCGTATGTGTAGAAGTAGGCTAGGGATGTGGGACAGCGGGTCTTTTCTCAAAGAATC